GGGAATTATCGGTACGGCTGCAGACGCACGGCCTAAAAACATGCCAATCTTTAAATCTCGATTTCTTTGTAAATGCAAATGTCAGAAAATTAACAAAGATACCATTCGAAAGATTATTAAATTCTGCGATTAATGATAGATAACTGAAAATTTTAATAATTTATACAAAAATTGCAGCAATCGACAAATTTGACAAAAAAATTTTAAAAGTAAAATTTTTTTGGAAATTTTTTCAACCCCTGCACATTTTTCAAAAATTGTAGAAAAAATTTGAAACTTATATAGGTGTAATCATTCAAGTCGCATCTTTAATTTAAGACCAAAAGAGTTTAAAAATCTTATTCGGTTCGTGAGATATCATTATAAACGTCGGAGCATGTTTTTTGACAAATGCATTGAGTTAGTCGATTTTGAACGGTTTTTGGCTGAAAATGCTCGGCTGTTTATAATGATATCTCGATAACCGATTAAGATTTTTTAAATTTTTTGGTCTTAAATTAAAGATGAGACTTGAATGATTACACCTATATAAGTTTCAAATTTTTTCTACAATTTTTAAAAAATGTGCAGGGGTTCAAAAAATTTTCGAAAAAATTTTATTTTTTAATTTTTTTTGTCAAATTTGCCGATTGCTGCTAATTTTGTATAAATTATTAAAATTTTCAGTTATGTATCATTAATCGCAGAATTTAATAATCTTTCGAATGGTATATTTGTTAATTTTCTGACATTTGTATTTACAAAAAAATCGTGATTTAAAGATTGGTATGTTTTTGGGCCGTGCGCGTGCAGCCGTACCGATAATTCCTGACGGTAGTGTAGATTTTTTAGTTTAGTTTTGAGTTAAAACGAAACTAAATTCAATTTATTAATATTTAGTTTCGAGTCGTCACGAAACTAAATCTAATTTGTTAATTTAGTTTCGGGTCGACACGAAACTAAATTCAGTTTATTAATTTAGTTTTGTGTCGACACGAAACTAAACTCAGCTTGTTAATTTATTTTTGTGACAACTCAGAAACTAAAACGAAAGTAAACTTTCGTAATGGTCCCTAATTTATAATAATAAGAAATTTGAATTTTTCCATTATTTTTCAAAATTTTATTGTTTATATTTAATTAATGTTTATAAATATAAACATTAATTAAGATAGAGTTTTACAAATATTTTTAAATAACATCAATTTAAAAGCTTATTTACCACATAGTATATTATTATTAAATAAACTATTAATATTAAATTAAAAAAAATTTTTTTTTGTTTTTGCAGACAATAGACAACTACTTATATTTTTCTTAAAAAAAGTAACTTCTTTTTTTTTAATTTAAAGTCGCTGACATTGATTTCCAAAGTAATAAAATTTTTCGTTTAAATTCAATTATTTTAAGGAATTTTAAGAAAATTCAGTGCAAAATTCAATTGTTTTCAAAAGAAATAAAATTCTTTTTAGGAATTTAATTATTTTCTGGAATTTTAATAAAATTCATTGCAAAAATCAATTATTTTCATAAAAAAGTAACAAAAGAATTCATCACAAGAATTCAGTTATCATCAAAAGTAGATAATAAAATTTTTCGTTTAAATTCAATTATTTTCAGGAGTTTTAATAAAAATCATTGCAAAAGTCAATTATTTCCAAAGTAATAACATTTTTCGTTTAAATTCAATTATTTTCAGGAATTTTAAGAAAATTCAGTGCAAAATTCAATTATTTTCAAAAGAAATAAAATTCTTTTTTGGAATTCAATCATTTTCAGGAAATTTAATAAAATTCTTTGAAAAAATCAATTATTTTCATAAAAAATAACAAAAGAATTCTTCACAAGAATTTTCAGTTCAGTTATCCAATTCCGTTTTTGTCCGCAATCTTAAGGGTATGTGGAATCAGCCAACTTCAATTAATACATGTATTAATATTCCCACCGGTTTTCTAAAAAAATATTTTATAAATCTTGACAAAATATAAGAAAAATAATATTTTATTTATTGAGGCATGGATCTCTAGTCCAATTAATACAAAAATTTGCTTTTAAATATTATTTTCCATTTAATAAAAAGTTTAATATTTTTTGAGAAAAAAAGACAATCAAATACAAATTAATATTGAAAAAAATGAATAAATTTATATTTTTCTATTCAAACTTTCATTTTTTTGACAATTTTCGAGAAAAAAGACAATCGAATACAAATTGCCATTGAAAAAAATGAATGTTAACATAGAAAAATATAAATTTATTCATTTTTTTCAATATTAATTTGTATTTGATTGTCTTTTTTCTCAAAAAATATCAAACTTTTTATTAAATGAAAAATAATATTTAAAAGCAAATTTTTGTATTAATTGGACTAGAGATCCATGCCTCAATAAATAAAATATTATTTTTCTTATATTTTGTCAAGATTTATTAAATATTTTTTTAGAAAACCGGTGGGAATATTAATACATGTATTAATTGAAGTTGGCTGATTCCACATACCCTTAATGAATTCCTTTTCTATTGTTAAATTGATAATTTCTATCCAATTCAATTCTCTATAACCACGTGACCAGATTTTGAAACCCCTTTAATGCCCTTTAAAGAATTCAATGTTAATTAAAAGGCATTAACTCCACAACAAATGATTCCCTTAAACGGCATTAAAGTGAATTCAGACTCTGGTCACGTAGTTACAGAGAATTGAATTGGATAGAAATTATCAATTTAACGATAGAAAAGGAATTCATTAAGATTGCGGACAAAAACGGAATTGGTTTGGAATTTAAGGGCATAAAAGTACCAATCCACTTTAATTAACTTTAATTCACCCCTTATTACTGGGAATATGAGTAGTTGTCTATTGTCTGCAAAAACCAAAAAAAAAAATTTTTTAATTTAATATTAATAGTTTATTTAATATTAATATACTATGTGGTAAATAAGCATCTAAATTGATGTTATTTAAAAATATTTGTAAAACTCCATCTTAATTAATGTTTATATTTATAAACATTAATTAAATATAAACAATAAAATTTTGAAAAATAATGGAAAAATTCAAATTTCTTATTATTATAAATCAGGGACCATTACGAAAGTTTACTTTCGTTTTAGTTTCTGAGTTGTCACAAAAATAAATTAACAAGCTGAGTTTAGTTTCGTGTCGACACAAAACTAAATTAATAAACTGAATTTAGTTTCGTGTCGACCCGAAACTAAATTAACAAATTAGATTTAGTTTCGTGACGACTCGAAACTAAATTAATAAATTGAATTTAGTTTTGAGTTAACTAAAAACTAAACTAAAAAATCTAAATTAAAATTTAAAAAAATTGAATTTATTTAAGTACACATCGAAAATAAATATTTTAGAAACTCAAGTATTTAGTATTAAATAAAAAATCACAGCTAACAAAATACAATATTTCAAGAAATAATAGAATTATAACTTTAATAATAGATATAAAATAGTATGAGGAGACTTCAATAGAATTATAAAGTGAAAAAAGTGAACATGATTTTTATGCATTTAAATATTGATATATTTTGATTTTTCTTTTTAGTAATTTTTTGACTGACACTAAATATTTAAGTTTTTGGACTTAATTTTCGAGCCGACACGACACGAAACGAAATGAAACTTAAATTTCAAAAACAAAAATTGCACAATTTAGCAGTTTTTTTATTTAAAATATTTTAAAAAAATATATTTTTTCCCATTTTTTGGAGAATGGAAATATTGTTAAATAATTTATAGTTTAGTAAAAAGGCACTAAATATAATCCTACATATTTCATAAAAAATAAAAACTGCATGTAATATGTTATTTAAAAATTAAAATTCAGTTTACATACATTAATGATTAAAAAAAATTAATTACACACAATTGATTTGCATTAAAAATTGTACTTTAATTTATAAATTTAATTTAACATTCCAAAATATATAAAAATGTCTACTAAATTTTCTATAATAAAAAACGTATTAAAAAGTATGATATAAACTTTAAACAAATAATGATAAGGATTATTAAAATGAGGATGCAATTTTTTTCTTTATTATTCACAAACACCAACACCACAAAACACTAATTCAAAAATAAATATTCACTTTCACGTAATATATAAGCAATTGTAAAACTGACACTACTATTAAATTAAAATTGATATGTAAATGTAAACATTTAACTATGACATAACCTCACTTACCAAAAAAAAACTGTTACTACAGTTGGTAAAATAGAAATTAAAGATACTTAGTAGAAAGAATCCAATAGGTAATGTGTATATTACATTTTCAAAAATGGATGCAAGTGGCGATTTGGTTGAGCGCGTTAAGGGGCTATCCCAGCAGCCGACTTGATACCTTTAGACTTATCCATCAGGCTATACAAAGGTTCAAGTCTGCTCACCCTCGCACGTTTAAGATTATTATTTTCGTTTTTTTTCATTAAATACAATTTTTTATTTTAGGTCAATGAAAAATATAAAAATCTCTTAATTTTTTAAAACTTTTTAAACAATAAATTTATCTACAAAAAAATTAAAAAAAGTTTTGGAAATTTCTAGATAATTTCCAAGAAACTACCTTTGGTAATTTCCAAGAAGTTTACACGGGTAAATAACAAGAAGTTTTCAAAGAGAGTTTCCAGCAAACTTCCAGGAAGTTTCCGAAGGAAGATTCCAGAGGCGGACATTGTTGTATTCCGGGGAAGCTTCCAGGAAGTTACCAAAGGTAACTTCCGAAGTTGCCGTGGGAAACTTCCTGGAAATTTCCTGGAAGTTTTTATGCTATCTGGGATTGGTCAAACAAAACGAAAACTCAAGACTAGAATCGATGAACACGATGAATCGATCATGTAGACTTGACGAAGCATCATCTGCCTTAGGGTGAAGTCCCATGATGGGTGTAAAGTGCAAAATGCAAAGTGAAAGTAACTAGATTAGAAATTTTGACCAAACGCACCTTAAATTTTGACCAAACGCACCTTAAAGTTTGTTGGCGTTCACATGAATTGTGTTGTTTATGGTTGACACATATTGTGTGCATCGTGCATTGTTTAACTGACAAAAGTTAGGAGTTTTTAAAATAAAAAAGAAATTATTGAGCAAGAATCAAATTATGAGCGAGGAAAATAATGGAAGTATACCAGTAAGTAAAAATAAGTTTTCATATAATACTCTATGCAAGCAGTAATAAAAAAATGTTATAAAAGATAATTACAGGTTATGTTTAACCTAAAAATGTGCACGTGTTGATCTATTATAGCTGCACTGTAAAACTTAGAAAATTGTAAAATAACGACTTTAAAAGTAAAAAATAATCCCTTCTGTAAAATCAATACTTTTAATGTTTTAATTTTACAATTTTCTGTAAATTTACTACTTTTTTAAAATGTTATAAAAGATAATTACAGGTTACGTTTAACCTAAAAATGTGCACGTGTTGATCGATTATAGCTGCACTGTAAAACTTAGAAAATTGTAAAATAACGACTTTAAAAGTAAAAAATAATCCCTTCTGTAAAATCAATACTTTTAATGTTTCAATTTTACAATTTTCTGTAAATTTACTACTTTTTTAAAATGTTATAAAAGATAATTACAGGTTATGTTTAACCTAAAAATGTGCACGTGTTAATCGATTATAGCTGCACTGTAAAACTTAGAAACTTGTAAAATAACGACTTTAAAAGTAAAAAATAATCCCTTCTGTAAAATCAATACTTTTAATGTTTCAATTTTACAATTTTCTGTAAATTTACTACTTTTTTAACATTTTTTTACGGTGTATAATTGTTGTCTTATATTTAAATGATAAGTGATATAAATATTAATATTTACGTTTTATTACAGGAAACGTATAGGTGTTGGAACTGCGAGTGGGTTATCCCACCATCAGAATTTAATAATTTGCTGTTTCACACTTGCTTTAAAGATATCGACGAGGAGACTCATTGCCTAGTTATAGGAGAAGATGGGCTCGTCAGTTTCAGTAAGTATATTTTAATTTTAATAATATAATAATAATAATTTTGATTTTAATAATATATGCACATAAATCTTATCTTATTATTGTTTTAGCTCCATTATCAAAAGGAAAAAGAAAGAAAGAAAGAAATCTTCAATGCCACAAGTTGTCAGACCGTAGCGACAACAGTCGTGCATCTAAGTTATACCATCTACCTACAATGCATAAACACTGCTATTATCCTGTCAAATGTCATCTAGTCTTCCAAGTTAAAGCAAATGACAATGATTGTTAACTATTTTTTAACATATGACAATGGATGAAAATCCATAAATTTTAATATAACTTGGCATTTAAAAAAAAACTATGCCATATAATATAAGGTAAACAAAAATAACCAAACCTACATATAACCAAAAAAACATTATATTACTGTTCTCATTATTATATATTTTTTAGACTTTTCTGAAGAAGGCTACAAAATTATAGCCGAAACGTTAAATATGTATAATGTATAACTATGTTGTGCAATAAATGACCAAAGGAAGAAATGAAACCATAATTAAAAACCTATATTTAATATATAGTTCTAATAATATATCTCATATACGTTCTATTGTCTTACTTATTTCATTCTTAAATGACTTTTGGTATAAATGAATCTGCGTTTTTTGTGGTTAAAAGAATTTATGTTATTATTTAAATGTAGAGCGAAGTTAATTTGTGTTAGCATTTTTGATCCATGATGTCAAGTGAAGAAGTTTTTCTTGTTGGAGTTATCGACAATCAAATTATAGGTAGTAAATTGCCATCAAAGCGAAATTGTCTAAGTGTTTATTTTACAACATTAGAGTTTCTCAAATGAACCTGCGTGATAGTGCCGCTCTTGTCATTGAAGAGTGCTTGATTTTTTGGAAAAAAGACAGAATCCCTACTCAAAAATGTGATAAATGTATTTCGAAATTAATTAAGCTGTATGAATTGTTAAGACAGTTACAAAAAAATAATACAAGAATTTCCAAATTACAAAGAAGAAAAGAAGAAGATTTTGTAAATGAACTAGATGACCTTTTTGATGTAGCTAAAGCAAATGCTATGGATTTGATTGAATCTGAAGAGGATAAGGAATTTCTCATACTCCAAAGGAAAAAAGGACGAGTTGGATATATGGTAGGAGAAAACAAAAATTTTAATTACCAAGAAAGAAAAACTAAAGTTGAGGACAAGAAAGAGATTTCAAGAGATGAAGAAGATCTTACAGGTAAGTTAATAATCGAAATAAATTAATAATTTTATAATTTTGCAAATTAGAGTTTGATGTAAATTTTTCTTTGTTAGAAGATCAAGAAATAGTTTCTACTTTGAAATCGATTAATTTAAATGAGGATGAGCTTTTGGACGAAAGCAATTCGAGTCTTGAATCGGATGCAACATCAACTTTTTCACTTTCATTCAAACCGAAAAGAGGAACGCGACATATTTTAACTAAAAGACTTTGTGCTGCATTCGACAAGTGTGAAGTTAGTGACAAGAGATGTTGCTCACATTTTAATGGCTTGCGTAATTGCTCTTGATTTAGATCCGAGTGAATTTATTATAAATCGATCATCAATTAAAAGAAAAAGAGAAGAATTTCGTAAAGAAAGTGCAATCAAAACACAGAATGAATTTATGAATTCAAATACAGAGTTTGTTGTTGTTCACTGGGATTCCAAGATTTTACCCGATTTAAGTGGAAAAGAATCTGTAGACCGCCTTCCTGTAATTGTAACGTCTCAGGATAAAGAGCAATTGCTTGGAGTGCCTAAATTATCTTCTGCAACAGGAGAAGAAGTAGCTTGTGCTGTTTATGAAATATTAATGCAATGGTCGTTGGAGAATAAAATCCAAGCATTTGTTTTTGATACGACGGCTTCTAATTCTGGTCGTTTAAATGGTGCCTGTGTTCTTCTAGAGAAAAAACTAAATAGAGATATTCTCTTTTTAGCTTGTAGACATCACATCTACGAAATCATGCTTGCGAGTGTTTTCGAAGAATTAAAACTTTCTTTTCAGACTGGCCCAGACATTCAAATTTTTAAAAAATTTTAAAAAAATTGGACAAAAATCGATAAAACTAAATATTCTAATTGGAATTCAGACAATGATGTATGTCAAACATTACGTGACGTTAAAGAAGATGTTCTCACCTTTGCCAGAAATCACATTTTAGAAGAATTTCCTCGTGATGATTACAAAGAATTTTTGGAACTAGTTATCATTTTCTTAGGAGAAATCCCACCAAATGGTATTCGATTTAAATGTCCTGGAGCTTATCACAGAGTAAGATGGATGGCGAAGGCTATTTATTGCTTGAAAATATTTTTATTTAGGGAACAGTTCCAGATAAATAAACATGAAAAAAAGCGATAAATGAAATTTGTTGCTTTGTAATTACATGTTACATTCAAGCATGGTTTTGTACAACAAATGCTATTGAAGCTCCATTGCCTGATTTTAAATTTTTGCAAAGCTTAGAAATGTATAAGAAACATAACAAGATAATTGCCGAGAAAGTACAAAAGAAATTTTTAAATTATTTGTGGTATTTACACGAAGAATGTGCTGCAATGTGCCTGTTTGATGACAGACTTGATAATCAGAAAAGAAAATGCATTGCTAATAAAATCGTAGAAAACGAAACTGATGAAGACTGTAATATCGAAATTCATAAAAAGAAAATGTTGTCATTCAAAGAACTTGATTTATTTCTGAAGTCAGATTTTCCAGAAAATCTAATTACAAGTCGATCAAAACAGCTGTTTAAGAGATTTAACATTCCCACAGATTTTTTATATTAAGATTCTTCGTTATGGAAAAATCACGAATGCTATTTGAAGGGACGTAGAATTTTTGCATGTCTAAAAGTAGTAAATGATGTAGCAGAGCGTGGTGTAAAACTCATAGAAGAGTTTAACAGCAATTTTACTAAAAATGAAGATCAAAAACAGTATTTACTACAGGTATTTACTTATCTGAATTATAATATATTTAATATTAATTCACTATATTAACTGCACTTCTGTGCATTATATATTAGGAAGGAGAACTATTATACAGTTATATTTATTTCTTTTTAAATTCTTGGTACAAAATTCGTTTTCAGGTTGTCCAGAAATATCGAAAAAGGTTTCCCAGTTACAATAAGTCAGCTTTGAAAGATTAGAAATTTAAACAAAACAAAGAAAAAACTAACAACAATAACAGATAATATTTTTAGTATTCAATAAATTATTCAGCTTATGTAAGCCTTGAATATAAATAATTCAACCAATTGTGAAAAAGAACTTCACATTAAATTAAAACCAGTTAATCTTTTAGTTATTTTGACAATGTAAATTTGTAAAATTATAAGAGCATGTTGTATCTCTTAGAAAATTTCAAAAATTGTTTACAAAAAAGAATATTTTGTTTAAGTAATTATTAAAATCATTATATTGGATAGCTAGCCTTCAATATTAATTTGTAAAATCTTTATATATAATGAAATTAATTTATTTATGCAGCTGCCTAGATATCTACTAAGAATATTAATATGAAATTATGATATTTTGTTTAATAAGTTATTTACAAAATTGTATCACAATTAATATTTGTTCATAAAAATTTTGAGCAATTTATCATTTACTTTAAGAATGGTTTTCTTATTGTTTAATAAGTGTTAAAATAGTTGAAAATTAACAATTATAATTTGTTTAAAGAATTTTGAATAGTTATGTAAATACAAACAAAAATACTTTTTTAGCTAAGAAGAGCAAATTCTACTAAAGAAATCAAGAACAGATAAATAATAAGCAATTTTTCAATGTATTACATTGTTTTTTTATTTATAGGGTATTTGAGGTCTTATGAAAAATATAGTAAACAATAAGAAATTTTTAGATATATTATTGCTTGGTTTTTATTAAATATTTCTGAAGAAAACTAGAGTGGTCCGGTCAAAAAATATTGGCTTTTAGTTATTTCATAGTAAATTTACGAAAAAGTGTTTTTTGTAAAATTTTATGAGCATTGAGGCAGCATTAAATATTTATTAAAATTAAAATAAAAAAATACGTATCTCTTTTTTTTCCATTTACAACAAAATTCAGGGTGGGAATGGTTAAAATTCGAAAAAAAAATTTTTTAGGACCACCCTAATATATATACTAGAATTAGAAAGGAACGCCAACTCCCTATTTTTTATTTTGTTTCATCTTGATTTACTTACATCTTGTCTTTTTTTTATGCATAATTTTATAATTTTTATTACTTGAAAAAGAACAAATTTTTACAAACTAAATATTTATATTTTTGCTCCTTACTGTATTGTTTTTTACATTTTGCTTCCTCATAAAGGAAGCTTTGTATTAGCAAAATTTTGGATTGTCATTTTTTGACATATTTATAATTTTTTTTTATTATGCCTAATACTTTAGTACTTTATATATGCACAGGAACTCCCCGTATAAATGTTCTAAATAAATAAAAAAAAAATTTCGACGTATTTTGACCTCCGAAGTCCAAAAAACAGATTTTAAAAATTTGTCCCGATGTGTGTGTGTGTACTAACATTACATTTGCCTCAATATCTCAGAACGAGAAAGAGCTAAAGGCCTCAATTTTTTTTAAATTGTAGGTCTCCCTGGGGGACATAAAATAAGAGTATTTTTAGCCCGATTCATGAAGTTTAACTATTTTTTTTGCATTTTTCATTTAGTAAAAAAACGTTTTTTGGACATAACTTAAAAAAATGTTAGGACACTTATAAATCTTTTTCTTTAGTTTTGTAGAGTTTTTTCACACGCATCTTTTGAGGCCTAATTGAACATTTTTCGTCCATATTAACCGGAGATATTAAACTTTTAAAAATCAAAAATTTTGGAAAATAAGACTTTTTTAAAAATTTTGTTAAAAAATGTAGAAGTTTAGTTTTGTTTTGTATTTAGTTTTGTAGAGTTTTTTCAGACGCATCTTTTGAGCCCTAATTGAACATTTTTCGTCCATATTAACCGAAGATATTAAACTTTTAAAAATCTAAAATTTTGAAAAATAAGACTTTTATAAAATTTTTTTTAAATTATGTAAAAGTAACTTAAAAAAATTATTACCAACTTGAAGAGCATTAAAAAACGCTTTGATATACTTATTTTTGAACCTGATTCGGGCAGAAATTATGAAATTATTGGTATTTGAAAAATCAAAAATTGTGGAAAATATCATTTTTTCAACATTCTAGTTTATTAATTTATGTGTAATTAATAAACTATTATTACCATCTTATAGAATATATAAAAACACATTTTTTAGACCAAGATTTAATGATTTTTAACCCTTTTATAAAAAGTAATTCTTATATTTCAATTATTATTATTTCTATGAGGAAGCAAAGTGTTTATGAAATGAACACCAAAATTATAAAAATGTACAACTTGGCGGCAGTTTTTTGAAATGTAATTTAATATTTAAGTAAATAGTTTTAATGAAATTTCTTAAAAATAGATGTCAGTTTATAACAACTTTAT